TATGCCACTAAGCTATAGTATATCTGCCTAGGCTCTCTTCCATGTTGTAAGCATAAAACTTAAAATAACACACTCTACTCACTTTACTTACCTGGACTTATGGGCATCAGCCCTGAAAATAAATGTGCAGAACGCAGCAGCATCTCTTCTCAGCAACACAGGTTACCACAAACATCAGCCCTGTACTCTGCTCACTCTACATGCTACCTAGAGAACAAATTCACATTTAAGATTTCAGTCCTTATTAGAGTCCAGGGGAAGGTTGCCTGAAGGACCCCTCATCCTCTGAGGGCCAGATGAGCCCATGGCTCAGAACCAGCGGAGCTGTCTACCTGAAGGCAGAAACTTATATCTTAGGCCTGGAACTCCCTCCCAAAGGAAGTAAATACAAACACAGTCTTCACCACTTTCAGTTTCTAATGCAAAGCTCACTTCTTTGACCTCACTTTAACCTTCATTTATGATTTTTTTTAAAACCAAAATCAATCCCCTCATGTAACTTTTCCCTGTGAGAGAAGAACCCTTTATTTTGTTGGTTTTATTTTATGGTTTATTTTTAACTTTGGAGGATGCTCACAAACTCTGGCGATAGGCAGGGTGTAAGAATCTAGACAGAACTGAAGAGATTAGCTGTTTAAGTCTTACTCTGATTTACTTTAGGAGCCTGAAAAAGTCCTGCTTTTGGGTCGAACAGCTCAGGTCACTGACTCCACTGTCTCTCTCTCTGGAGGCAAAGTCCAGGGCTAGAAAAATCTAAGTAATCTTTGACCCTGAACTTGCAACTGCGTATGAAAGGGAAAAGGTGTGTAAAGCTACCTATTGCCACATCTAGAATGTTGCCAGAGTCTCTGCCTTTTACCCTGCTCTTCCTGCCTGTCCACTCCCCTCAGTTCCTCCAATCTCAGCTTTCTCTGTCCTCCCCCTTCCCACAGAGGAGAAAGGCTGGACACTAGCTCTTCTTTCACTTGCACTACGCATTATCCAGGATCCCCTCTCCTTCCCCTCCTCCTGATGTAATTGTCTCTTCAAATCAAACCTTGAAACTCTGCTCCTTTCTCTGCATGCCCCCACTGCTTCCTTCTATTCCCCCTCATTCCCGACACACCATGGCTGCCTTCTGCCATTCTCCCTTCTCAAATAATCATGAAACCTCCACACTTAATTGTGATTCTGAAGGGGAATTCAGTGTCACATTAAAGCTGTGATCACATATGCAAACTAGTCACCTGCTGGTGAAAGAACCTGCATCTCCAGATCAACAGACTATGCCCCAGCACACCTGCTGAAGACCATGTGTAGTGCTTGAAATATGGTTCATAAGATGTGCTAGCTAGTAACAAGGGCTAACAGAGTAGCAGGAAAGAAGAGAAATGCCTTGTTTTAAATACACAGCAATTCTCTGCAGATTTAAGTCCTAGTTGGCTTCTTGGGGAGAAAAAATAAATCTGTTGGCAGTGCAATGCCAACACAAAACAGAACAGATTCCAGCTCACTCTCCTATAGCTCTGCTGGCTTTGTGGCAATAGCAGGAGCAAAAAGTACTAAGGGTTTATTCTGGTCACTGAAATCAGCAGATCTGACTCCACTACAGACAGGAAGCAGACTGGCTGAGGAAGAGTTTTACATTGCCACTCTTCTGAGCATCACTGCACTTTCCTGCAGGGAACAGGTAATAAAAATGTGCTTATTTAGCAAGTTTGTAAGTTTCCAAAGAAGACATTGACCAGGAGTGGGGGAAGGAGCATCAATGAGTATTTCTACTGCTAGCAGCAGCCATCTTGCTAGGCACCAACCCCAAGTGTTCTCACTGGGATGTTAATCTGTTTCTAGAATGAGACCCATACATACAGACCTCACTGCACCCACACAGTTCCTCTTAAAATGCGCTATCAAGCCCATGGGCTGGACATGACCTTAAATGTTAAATAGGTCAGGTTCTTATTTCTAGTTAACCGATTGAGAGTTTGTTTATGCTCCTAGCCTGAGTCCCCATGCTACCCAGGTCATTGGCAATCATGGCATTTCTCAGGGAGGTGAGCAGAGAGAAGAGGGAGTAAATAATTTGTAGCAGGAGACCACTCTAGCCAGTCATCTAGTCTATTCTCTGCAACACCTTAGGGATTTTGTTCAGCATTTCATTAATGATCTGGATGATGGGATGGACTGCACCCTCAGCAAGTTCACAGATGACACTAAACTGGGGAGAGAGGTACATATGGTGGAGGGTAGGGATAGGTTCCAGAGTGACCTAGACAAATTGGAGGATTGGGCTAAAAGAAATCTGATGAGGTTCAACAAGGACAAGTGCAGAGTCCTGCACTTAGGACGGAAGAATCCCATGCCCTGCTACAGACTAGGGACCGAATGGCTAGGCAGCAGTTCTGCAGAAAAGGACCTAGGGGTGACAGCGGACAAGAAGCTGGATATGAGTCAGCAGTGTGCCCTTGTTGCCAAGGCGGCCAATGGCATTTTGGGCTGTATAAGTAGGGGCATTGCCAGCAGATCGAGGGACTAGATTTGGCACTAGTGAGGCCACATCTGGAGTATCGTGTCCACTTTTGGGCCCCCCACTACAGAAAGGATGTGGACAAATTGGAGAGAGTCCAGTGGAGGGCAATGAAAATGATTAGGGGGCTGGGGCACATGACTTATGAGGAGAGGCTGAGGGAACTGGGCTTATTTAGGCTGCAGGAGAGAAGAGTGAGGAGAGATTTAATAGCAGCCTTCAACTACCTGAACCTGAAAGGGGGGTTCCAAAGCAGATGGAGCTAGGCTGTTCTCAGGGGTGGCAGATGACAGAACAAGGAGCAATGGTCTCAAGTTGCAGTGGAGGAGATCTAGGTTGCATATTAGGAAAAACTATTCACTAGGAGGGTGGTGAAGCACTGGAATGGGTTACCTAGGGAGGTGGTAGAATCTCCATCCTTAGAGGTTTTTAAGGCCCAGCTTGACAAAGCCCTAGTTGGGATGATTTAGCTTTGAGCAGGGGGTTGGTCTCTCTCCTGAGGTCTCTTCCAACCCTATTCTTCTATGAGTGTATGATTTCCATTATCCCTTAACCCATACCTGATAGATGGGCATTTAGTCCGACCCCTGGAGCACCTCCAGTGATAGAAATTCCACTTCAGCCTTCAGCGGTTCCTTCCAGTGCCCAAGCAAATGAATTGATTGCTGGTAAAAGGTGTGCCCCCAGCTGTTGCTGTAGCTTTTATTCCCCAGAGAAAGTAAAACGTAACACGAGTATCAGCAATGCAAGCTTTGTCCCTGCAGCTGTGCCTCAATCAGACTCTGCTGGAACACTCTAGGGAGGAGATGTCAGTGCAGTCCTTGGACTCTCTGCTGAGACTGCCAAGGAGGCCACTTGACACCAATGGTGAGCAGCCACTTCATGCAGAGCTAGACTGAGAAACTAACTTCACCGCAGTAACTTTTGCTCACCACAGACCTGGGGAGGATCAGAACAAGCAAGAGCCCATCATCAAGCCCCTCCTCATCCAGACTGCAAGGCCATTCTTACAACTCCATGTGGCTCTCAAAGGTTTCATTTAAACAGCAGAGTATGGAACCTTCTGCCTCCACATGTATTTTGTGTTTATTGTTCAGTCACATCTAGACGCCCTTCCCACCACTGCTTGAGACCTGGGGAAATTTGATTTCACATGTTTCTCTTACACCGCACCTTCCGTAGATGAAGCTGACAGGAGATGGGGCTGTTGTTCAATAAAGGGAGATTTGAGTCCAAAAGAGAGATTTGCTGACATTTTGCAAACTTCAATCCTGCTCAGCACAGCTATAGAAAAAACAGGAGTTAGAAGCAGATGACTCAAGGGTCAGGCACGAGAAAAGGAGCTTTAAACCTCATCAGACTGAAGCAGGAGACATTAGAAATCACTGCTACTATCCTATGGCCAGTCACTGTGAAAAATGGTGAAGACGCCTCAGTGCATTTCCTAGTAGAGAGTTGTCCACATAATTTTTTCTACATTGTTCTTTGCAGAGGTAGTCCTCCCCCAGCCTTCCCTTTTATGGGACTGTAAATTTAGACAGTGTCATTACAGACAATACAGTTTTAGGTGCATGGAACAGGTCTTGGTTTGTTTTGTAAAGCACCATGTACATTTAAACAATGAGGAGTGCGGTGGCACCTTAAAGACTAACAGATTTATTTGGGCATAAGCTTTTGATAAATCCATTAGTCTCTAAGGTGCCACCTGACTCCTCATTGTTTTTGTGGATACAGACTAAACACGACTACCCCTCTGATACCATGTACATTTACAGCACCTTAATTATGCATACTAAAGTCACAACTGGCCCCATTTTTGATAGTCTCAATGGGAATAGCCAAGGACTGAATGGGGCCAGAGACACCAAGGCCTTTCCCCAGTAGTGGTCCTTTTAAGTTAAGTCTGAGGCACAGGGTGGGGATGGGGGTAGTAAAAAGCATGTACTACCACTATGTAGGATTTACCTGATTGGGGGAATAAGTAATCCAGCACTTTTCACCAGCACCATTTATTAGAAAGTTTGGTTGTGGTTTAAAATAGGCAAGGGGAGGGGGGAAGAGGGAGAAAATCATTTTCAACATATTTTCTCCCTGGAGTCCTAAATAAATTCTGCGTCGTCCACAAGATTGCCAACTAAATCCTAACTACCTCATTGTAGTGCTGAGGCAGAGAGAGAGCACAGATGATGTTTGTGGCATTGGCAGGTTTTCTTTGGACCTTGCAAAGTGGAAGTTTGATCTGGAAGTGATCAAGGGACAAGAAGTATGAATGGTGAGATTTGTGACATTTCCGAAGTCAGTTTATAATCACAATGTAATAAAGGAAACAGAAGATGAGAAACTGTGTTGCATGTACACCATATACGCATACAAAGGGACCAGTAGGACCTAATTTTGGAAGATGAAGCACCTTCCAACAACAACTGAAGGATCAGCATCAGGCAGAATGCTGGCAGAGAGAGAGAGAGAGGAAAAATACATGACTAGATCTTCCTGTAGTGGAATATACACTTTATTTTTTTAAAAAGGAAAAATACTAAACAATTTCATACAGTCAAAACTTTACATATTAAAGAAAAAAGCATTAAAAAAACAGTCGTCAAGAGCAGAAAGGATTTCAACTACAGTACCCACAAATTCCAAGCGATTTTTCAATACTTGGAAACTTCAAATCCAGAGTTCGTTCATTAAAAAAAAAAAAAAAAGTCAGAAATGGAAATATAGGAGGATACTGGGTGTACAGTGAAATGCCCCTTTCCTCATCAAACTGCAATTCAGGTACCTTTATTTTCTTTGATCAGCTGGCAAGAGTATGTGTACAAAATGAGCAGTTTTGGGTACATGATTAATAGCGAAGCTAGATTATTTATGGTAATAGACAACTTTACTCACCTGTTTCACAAACATGATAATATCTGGTAAAAGTAGCAATTTTACATTTCTATAGGGCCTTTCATTCAGAATGACCAAAAAGCATTTTACAGACTGACTTACAAAACTATATACAGGAATTACTCTGCCTTCCTCAAAAATGGAGACACCCAAGAGGTGAAACACAGCAACTGTTTAATGACACAAAGCAAAACTATATATTAAAATAATATTTTGCAGTTAATAAAATATTCCGCAGTCAAATTTTTCCTTTTGAATGAGTGGGATAGAGTGGTGTCATCTGTAGATCCAAATAAAGGACACTTCAAAATTCTCTTGCTTCTGGCATTAAAATGTAGTGTAAACCAAACACACCAAATGCGATTCTTCCAGAAACACTAATTAGATCAAAACAGACTCTCTCCTCTTCTCCAAAAAAGGTTGACAGGTGCAGAACTCCAGTGAATAATTTGCACACAAGTAACTGTGAAGCAGCTAAATTAACAGCTTGGGAACAGAATACAAAAATGTACCACCATTTCTGCCCACTATAAAAAAAGTGTAATTTTCCATTGTTATTTCAATGGAATGCTGCAGCAGCAGATAATGGAGAGCAGGCCACTGCTGTACATCAGTTAAGGTCAGTGAGCTAAAGATAGGTCAGCAGGAAGGTTTTATAACAGGGCTGTGGGCCCCAATGCTAGATAAAGTTTGAAGGACAAGGACAAGTTGCTTCCTAACACATTGACCATGATTCTCAACCATTAATTTTGTTTTCCTCTAGTCTAAAATTGACACAAAGAAGAATTTCACTGGCTGAAAGTTCCATCTGTGCAGTATACAATGAAAATGCACTGAAAACTCAAGTCTTTAGTCAATGTATCTCTCCATGCACCAACGGTGTGCGAGCAGGATAACCATATATTTGTGTGTACACACAACACGACTGATGAAGGTTTATTCTACTTATGATATGGGTGAGTTGCGGTAACAGTCAATGACAGCGCAGTCTGGTTAGAGGGCTACGTTTAAGCCACAACCAAGCAATTTAAAAAACAAGTTACTGTTTTTTCTGGACTCGCACAGTGCTTTTTATGAAACTGACCAATTGGAGTGCTTTCTAACTGTTATTGGCCAACAGCAAAACGGACAATCCAGAAAATGGGATTGTCTGAGAACAGTGATGAATGTCACCTCATTGACTACTGTAAAAAAATAAAATGAAGTTTCTCTATTTGGGTGGTTTATTATTTTTAAATATTTTTGTGAACAGGAAGCATCACAATTAAATGAAAACTCCACAACATCAATCTCACTTTGATTTCTGCAGTTCTCTAGAAAAAAAAATCCCAAGTCATATGACATGAAGCACTTTTAACAATTTTCAGGTGTTACAATAGAAGCGTTATTACTTTATAAGACAGATTAATTTTAAAAGTGTATTTACATATTCTAAATTATACAAAATACAATATTCCAATAAATCACATCATCACATAAGAGTGTAGAAGATGAATCCTTCCATTACCCTGACCAGTAGCAAACAGACACCTCATCGCTTCTCTAAAAAGATAGATACCAGCTACCTGCTATTCCATTTAGGTAAGTGAACGAATCCTCACCTCATCCTCACATATGGATGCAGTGCTGTCAAGCAGTTCAGGTAACCACATGAGCAAAGTGCAGCATTACTGAGATCTGCACGTCAGAATCAAGTGCCTTAATTTAATGGACATACAGTGAGTAAATTAATATAACTACAGTAGTTAAAAATAATAGCAACTTCCCCCACTCTCCAAAGTTCTTTTCACCTTCACTCTCTATTGTGGCCCATAAGAAATATGAGCAAGAAAAGGAGGCACCCATCACTTTAAAAAGTGAACATCTTGGATATGAGCTCAAGCTGTGGGGATGAGATCTGGATCTGAACTGCCCCAAAGTTAGAAGCAGTTCGGCTTCAGTTTCAGCATTCTGGCTCAGGCTAGTATTTTGCCTTAACCTTATCTTTCGGTTTTTCCTCTCTTCTTTATGCTCTGCTTACTTTTTTACTTCCCTCACAACTCTCCACTCTATTGTGACTGCCTGAACTTTAAAAGTTTGTATTCCAAAAAAGCCACACAAAATATAATGAACCATCTGGCTAGAAATATTGACTTTGTCCCTTCCCCCAACCTTTACTGGTGGTTTTGGTAGATGTACAACAGAGAAATTACTGAAGACCAACAAATCTGGTGAAGATTTTGTATTTGTGTGAGGGGAAAAGCCCTTAAAAAAAAAAGATACTAAAATAAATGTTCTTTCCTCAGTAAAGATTTAGATATAGGTTACTGTAAAATATGAAGTTAATGGGTCAGGTCACCTCTGCACCTCCCCTTTGTCTTGGGTTCACCCACTACAGCCAGGAGAAAACAATACAGGCACACCCTGATTTTACAAAGCTTTGAGATAACTGAACACTTTGTAAAATCAGGACTTTTGATAACCAGGAGCTTCAATTCTGTGAAGTTTAGGAGCTCTGTGGATCTGAAGTTGCACAGCAGCACTGCTCTCCTACTGACTACACAGAACGTTTTTGTCACAACAATTGTACTTTTACAGTATTCCTAAACTCTGGCGCTGCTGGACCTCCACTGCACCTGCTACCTTAAGATGTACCTGGTACAGTTAGTAGCAGCTCACCAGATGATGCGGAAAATAGTATTTCCAGCTAGAACACAAGGGACTTCCAAACAGCACAGCAAAGAAATGAAATGGATAATTATCAGCAGTGAAGACCTTATTAAAAAAAAAAAAAGTAAAGAACTATATGACACCTGGAATTAACACATTTCTTCTCTTAGCATGCACTGCATATTTCTTCTTTACCCAGACCAAACAGCAAATCAAAGATTAATTAAGCAGACTATCTGAATAAAAAAAGTTCTCGTTCGTAAGATAAACAAAAGTGATGGGAAGATCAGTCCACCAATACTGCACCTGCAATCACAGGGGTCTCTTCTGGTCCCAACTCAGGGCTTGTCTACCCTACAGAGGCGACAGCTGTGCCGCCATGGCACTGTACACGCTTCCTACAGCAACGGAAGGGGTTTTTCCGTCAATGTCACCGATCCAACGCTCTGAGGGGGTTGTAGCCAAGTTGACAGAATTCTTCTGCATCTATATGGGAAGTTAGGTCAACCTAACTATGGTGCTCAGGAGCATACACTTTTCACAGCCCTGAGTGATGTAACTAGGTCACTCTAATTTTTAAGTGTAGACCAGGGCTCAGTGTGCTCCAGAGGAAAGCAAAGTCATCCACCGCTCCAATGTTTGATGAAAACTCAAAATCACCAGAGCAGAGAATAAAGACCTTTGTCTATGGAAGTTCATGAGAGCTTTGCCAACAACTTCAATGGGAACAGGATTTGGCTGTAAGTAAAAAATGTACTTAAGGAGTATTTATTGCAGATGTGCACTGCTATTAGATATCTTACGCTGTTAGACCTATTGGCAGACTTTGTATGAAACTAATGCCCATTGAATTCTCTCTTGCATCATTTATTGAACTGTTTTTTCTGGTTATGTAATAGAATAGACATTTTTAAAGCAGACATTCCCCACAGGTAACCCTATTAATAGTGGGGACATTTTGAAAGTTTGTAGTCTGATGGTTGTTCAGTGGAAGCTAGATTTAAACCACTAGCCATTTCACAGGGGCTACTGAACAGGCATCCCCATCAAACTGCTCCCTTCATGATAGTCTCTGTAGTAAGGCCAAAGATGCAATTTCCTTTTTTCCCTTTGAGATGGTCCCTATCAGTGAGGCATAGGACACATTGCCATGAAGCAGTGTATGTGAGAACCTTGCTTAATTATTGCTCAAGCTGAACTTGTGCTGTTAGAAAACTTCAGGCTCTTGGCCTGTCAATTCAACCCCTTTCAATATTACATTTGTTTGAAACAATTTGTCAGTATTCCACTGCAGACACTACGGTACTGTTACCAAGGGGAAGAGGCTGCACAGGTAAGATGGCAATCCTAGTTACATTATCGTCTATCACAATCTCAGAGTTCATGGTAATTTACTCTAAAAGGAGTGGAAAGCTCTGAAGCAGCATGCCTAACCTCCAAGAGACTGTAAGAATTGGAAGAAGTCTGACATAATCTCGCAACAGAAAGCCAGAACAAGACAGAGAGAGGTGTTGGCCCCGCACAAAGGAGGTGGCTGGTAAGAGCTGTGTTCATATGGGAATAAGAGATCACCACCATTACCTCAGAGAACTTACTGGATGTCTCACAACGTGACGGTTCTCCAGCTATAAAAATCAATCCACACTTGAGAAAAAACTATGCTTGACTGACACAACCTTGTATCACCTAGGTACAGCAGCACACATGATGTGTAACTTTGTGCACTAATCTACACAGAAGGACCACGGCATGCAAGATGGATAGTCTTCTCTGAAAGACAAACCAAATGAATATTTCACTGGTTTATGTTATATTGCACAAATTAATCTGGAAACCAAATGGGACTATTCCCATTACTTGAATATTATGGTGATAATGTAGCATGATTATTACAAAAGACAATTCTCCATACATGCATTGTTCTAGACGATAGCATTAAAGGTTACCATAGTCCACTGCAGTTGCCTATTTAAATATCAACTAAGACTGCTGAAATAAGTATATTAGGATTGTTCCTAATGCAGAACGATGGCAGGATCCAAATGAATCATACTTGTAAATTTAGTCAGTTATTATTTAACTAAAAAAATCCACCTCACTTCAAATGGTAAACATGGCTGTGAAAAAACAATAATTCAGAGCCAAGTAATTGGAAATAAATGCTAGAAGATCATATTTACATGCATTCAGCGTCTTTAAAATCAAGCCCCTTAAACTAAAAAAGTAACCCCCCAAAAAAAGGTTGTTCAAGGCTGTGCTACAAGGTGTAAGCCTGCGGCACTTTCTATAGGTGGCACTATATTCCCGACATTTTAGGAATTTGATGCTGGAATAGTAACCCATTTGCAGATGTTTGGAAACTTTCATGTACTATCCTAGCGAATCTTAAGAGTTCCAACTTATAGAAGTACTAGTTGTGTTGTTCCATGGATGTAATTTGTAAAGTCATGTGTGCAAAAAAGCCAAAAATGGCTGTGAACTTAGGACAGTAACAGATCACAGCGATGGCTGCATCTGCTGATATTCAGAACAAAAAGAGCTCTCAACCACCTGTGTAGCTGTTTTCCATCGCTTCACACTGACTCTACAGCAAGTTAAAGAAGTATGGGCTGGATGAATGGACGATAAGGTGGATAGAAAGCTGGCTAGATTGTCCGGCTCAATGGGTAATGATCAATGGCTCCATGTCTAGTTGGCAGCCGGTATCAAGTGGAGTGTCCCAAGGGTTGGTTTTGTTCAATATCTTCATAAATGATCTGGAGGATGGTGTGGATTGCACCCTCAGCAAGTTTGCAGATGACACTAAACTGGCAGGAGAGGTAGATACGCTGGAGGGTAGAGATAGGATACAGAGGGCCCTAGACAAATTAGAGGATTGGGCCAAAAGAAATCTGATGAGGTTCAACAAGGACAAGTGCAGAGTCCTGCACTTAGGACGGAAGAATCCCATGCCCTGCTACAGACTAGGGACCGAATGGCTAGGCAGAAGTTCTGCAGAAAAGGACCTAGGGGTTACAGCAGACGAGAAGCTGGATATGAGTCAGTGTGCCGTTGTTGCCAAGAAGGCCAATGGCATTTTGGGCTGTAAAAGTAGGGGCATTGCCAGCAGATCGAGGGACGTGATCGTTCTCCTCTATTCGACATTGGTGAGGCCTCATCTGGAGTACTGTGTCCAGTTTCGGGCCCCACACTACAAGAAGGATGTGGAAAAATTAGAAAGCGTCCAGCGGAGGGCAACAAAAATGATTAGGGGACTGGAACACATGACTTATGAGGAGAGGCTGAGGGAACTGGAATTGCTTAGTCTGCAGAAGAGAAGAATGAGGGGGGATTTGATAGCTGCTTTCAACTACCTGAAAGGGGGTTCCAAACAGGATGGCTCTAGACTGTTCTCAGTGGTAGCAGATGACAGAACGAGGAGTAATGGTCTCAAGTTGCAGTGGGGGAGGTTTAGGTTGGATATTAGGAAAAACTTTTTCACTAGGAGGGTGGTGAAACACTGGAATGCGTTACCTAGGGAGGTGGTGGAATCTCCTTCCTTAGAAGTTTTTAAGGTCAGGCTTGACAAAGCCCTGGCTGGGATGATTTAGTTGGGGTTGGTCCTGCTTTGAGCAGGGGGTTGGACTAGATGACCTCCTGAGGTCCCTTCCAACCCTGATATTCTATGAATAGGCTTCAGAGACAATCCTGGAATCTTATTACATACATATAAACACATTGATAACATTTCTTACTGGTTAGGAAAAAAGTTAAAGCGTGTTCTTTAACACTGAAAACATGGTCCACTTGCAAGACTAGATCAAGCAGTGCACTTGATGGAGCAAGCCCATTCATCTTTTCCAGGTTCCACTGAAAAATTAATTGGTTACAACTTTGTTTAAAGAAAGTTTGCAACAGTCTGCTTCTCCCCATTGCTCTCTTTCCTCTTCACCTTCCTACTAAGATTTTCTGGAGGCAAGAATCCCTCTGGGGAAGATGAAGACATGGTATTTGTACAGTATTAAACCATATGTCATAAGTTTCAGTTGTAATGGATCCTGAGCCTCCCATTTAGGCCCTTTTCGTTTTGCTGGCTTTCAAAAGGTCTTTATCAGCCAGGTGTCTGCCATTAATCAGCCTCCTGGCAGAGAGTTTAGAGAGTTTTCTGTGTGTCATACAGACACATAGAAAACCTCCTCTCCATTTCTATGTTATTGACATAACCTTGGATACAAGTGCAGCCCTACAATATTTTACTGGAAATAAGCCATTCCATTTTCTCTTTCACCTATACATTTGGTTATGATGTCTGGTTAGGAGTCTTTTGCTGTACTGATGGCAATTTTCCTTCCATGGACATCCTCCCTTTTCTACACAGGGCCAACATCCCTGCAATGCTCTCTAAGTGCCTCATCTATCTCCATACACGCCCAGAGTCGGTTTTTAAAGCTGTTCCATTATGACACAATGGAATTGCTGGATATTTTGGGTCCATGAGACAGATGCCCACCGTACTTTCTGAGGTGCTTGGGGAATTAGAGTGCAGTAGGAAAAAGAGAAGGATGCATAGCATAGTAGCTGCTAGCCACTGTTCCTCTGGGGCTTCAATACAGACTGACTGGTCTAGCCTGCAGCCAGATACATGGCTCAGCAGCTCAGAGAGGTATACACCTCTCCTCTATTTTGGTACAGCAGCCAAGGAAATTGATGTAATTTGTTTTATTGAGATACAAAAGTATCCCCTTAAAAGTAAAAGGGGAAGGAGGTGGGCTCCCCATAGTGTACATATCAGGAGAGGAAGTAGTTAAGGAGTTGTGTGTCATCTGGGCTATATAACAGGATTTATTTGTTACTCTTTGTACAGCACACTCTATGGTGCTTTTTAGTTTACTTCAACAAATCTGTTGCATTTTCTTGCACTCCTAGACTATTTTCCATGGATGCCTCTGGTTCAGCACCCCCAGCAGTACGTCACAAGATGCTACGCTTGTCAGAACCCAGCTGCAGCAGTAGCTAAAACCTATTCTACTGCTCCCCCCAACCCCAAAAATCGGTGACAATATAGTTTAAGCCATTTTAAGTTAGAATCCCCCTTCCTCCCATTTCATTCAAGTATCAAAACAGAGTCACCATTCACACAAGTCATCAACAGATTGGACTGAAAGACATGAGCTGTGAGTGTCATTGACAAGTGTCAGTAAGTAACATTACTGTAGTTTGATTACAGACAGAAGAAAAGCATTAGTACAAAAAAAGAGAGATAAGAAAGCCATACACAGCATTAAGGAGACCTTGCACTTTTCATCATGTCAGCCCCCGTGCAGTTCAGATGGGATACTTGCAGGCAGTGTCCCCGTCAGTTGTTTTTGCTGGATACCTCTCACACATCTCACTGTTCACTCTGAAGACAGATGGTTTCATGTGTGCTTTTTAGTTTCTTTGTTTTTAGAAGTCTTTAAAGTTGCATCACTCGGAATCAGATAAGTCACTTTAAATAAAGCAAAGCAGTAAGTGTGACAATTTATTTACAGTATACTCCATCTATCACCACTACACACCACTCTGTGAAAGAAAAAACCCAGTGGTGTGGGATTCTATTTTCCTGCTGCAAAGTTATCTCCCTCCTTGATGCTCAGGAGGAACCTGACTGGCGCTGCACAAAAAAACCAAAAACAAACAAAAAAAAAAAACAGCTCAGCCCAGACAAGCAGGTAATAATGCAGGGAGAAAACAGCTCCTGTATAGATTTACTTTAATCATGCTGGATTAGCTTCCTTCCCCACTCCATTGGGGAGTGAACATATGAATTTAGACAAGCTGTTTTATTCTCACATTGAGCTCACAAAGCTGACCTAGTCAAAATCTGTTACAGAAAAGAAACCCTATAACTTCTACGTGCTCTTATAAGTTTCTAATTCCTTCACTCAAATCTATCCTAAAACCTTTTATCTCCCACACTCCTCTTGCTCCCAAATACAAACACCATCCCCAGACATCTAACCAACAGTTATAGCATATTCACTGCCATAAGCCTGGGATAAAATACATATGACAGTGACAGTCTACTTTTGTACCAGGCATTTTACTAAAGCTCTCCATTGCAGGTGGAGGCAGCCTCCAACATTCACAAAAATGCATTTTTCTTTAGCACCATTTACTGTACGAGCAGTACTCGGAAGTAATCCATTCTCAGAACCAAGAGGGCAAGTCATGTGCTTGAGAGAAAACCAGCTGGCATAGAGAGACTGCCACCCAAAGAGGTTGTGAGAGAAGTTCTTCATGTTTAGAGTGGGTGTGGCTTCTCCCTTGCTTGCTCAAAACTTACAGAGGTGCAACTCTTGTACGACTGCGAAGATGCATTAGAGTGGTGGATTGGGTTTGTCCCCCCTTCCCCGCCCAAAACACAAAGTGCTGGTGATTCCCAAACCAGATGGACCTAAGAATTGATCTGATGAGGCCACAGGTAAATGACTCAAAGTTTGGTGGTGCCCTTCTCCTTCACTTCTGAATGAAGAGTCATGTGCTGCATAATTAGTAGTTCAAGAAAAGAAGTCCCCTAACTGTATTAGGGGAAAGGAAGAAAAGAGTGATGCACTCCCTAAAACCCATTGCTGTGAACTCAGAAAGTGTTACCTCACATTAGTAAAGGAGAAGTATGGGGCTCTTTGCCCTGCACCTCATCCTATGCTTCTGGGAGCTAACCAAAGAAAAACGTATAAGTATTGTTTAGAAACAATGTGTTCACTGCACTATGGTTTACACAAATGCACGTTCATCTGAATGTTATCTTCACCTCTGCAGAAGACAGACAGGTCCCAGGCCTAGGAGGTTTCCCTGTTCCTCCTGAACAGGAGCACAGAGCCCTGCACAACAGGGGCTGCTCAGCTACGTTCCAGTGTCTAGGAACTGGGGAAGGAACTTTTTTATGATGCTGTCCAGCAGCACCCATTTGTATCCCAAATTATAAAACTAAGTTTTAAAAAGAAAGGGGGGGGAGAGAGAGAGAATGAGAACGAACAGGAGACTTTTGCACTTCAGCCAGCTCTCTTTCCATTTAAAATGGAGATTAGAACAGAAAGCAAAAGCCTTGTCCAACAATCTAAACAGATTCACTTTTATTTCCCTGGATGGATGAATCCATTCTCTTGGATTAGCATCACCAACTGCTCTAGCAGTGTTAAAACAAAGCTGTAAAGATGGACACAACTTAGATTCTGGCACCACAAGGGTCAGGAAAGGACCTGACCAAGTTGTGCCATCAGAAGCGGATCTTTGCTATAGATGCACAATGACAAGGTCTCCATACATGTTATTTCTGGGAGTCTCTACAGAAGGCAGAGAAGTCCAAGAACTAAACAAGGAGCCCTAGCAAGGAAAGAGGGTGTGCTTACAAGGGTCCGTATCTGGTCTCATATTTAGAGACAATGTTCTTGCATTTCCCCACTTCCTTGCGCAGCTCTGCCACCTCTGTCCTGAGGGCAGTGTTCTCCTTCTCCAAGAAGGCTGCTCGGATTGTGATCTGATTCTCTTTCAGTCGCCGAGCGTCACGGGAACGTTTCGCTGCCACGTTGTTCTTCTTTCGCCTTGTCCAATATTTTTCATCCTGTAGGAAAGGGGGGGGGGGAAGAGAAAAAAAGCCAATCTGACAGCTCAGCATTTCATATCCAGCATCAAACAGCTACCTTCCTGCCCTACCACAAGAGTCATCCTACCCATAAAAGCCATCCTACTTGCTATCAGATTTCCTCCTGTAGCTCATGCAGGAAGTTGTTGGGTTGGCTAGGCTCAGATACTAACTGAAGTTTAGACAACATGGTACTGTAAGATTGTCTCCTCAAAAGAAGCCTATTTAGGATAGTTCAGGGTGGGGTGGGGAAGTAAAATTGAGGTGAAATTAAACAAAGGGAACATTTCAGCTAGACATCAAGAACAATTTCTTAACAGCTATGTCTATTAGCCTGTGGAATAATCTCCCAGTGAAAGTGATTAACGTTCCATTGTCTGGGGCACATAGAATTGGACTAGACAAAAGCATTGGCAAATGAGCATTTGACCATTTGTGGGGCGCAAATTTGCATTAGTGAGGAAGAGCAAAGGAGGAATGAGCTGAGACAACTTAGTTTTTCCATCCTTTTCTGTGTCTACCACCACAAGTCACTCCTGCCCAACAATTCCCTCACTGTTCCAAGTTAAAGCAGTAAGGGCCTTACAGCTGAATAGGAATCAGTCTTCCAACCCTCTTCTGAGCAACGTTCTCCACTCAACCCAGTAGGTATGGCCCACTGGCCTTGCCCCAAATGTATTTCAACATACAAAAAAAAAGACCCCCACACACTCTGCATAAAGCCTTATCAGTCTGATATAAGAAGTCTGTTACCTTTTGCTCATCTGGGACAAAAACCTTCTTGGCCTTTTTAATCATGGGCTGTGGTTTCAGGTCCTCTTCAGCAAACTTGTGCTTGCGAGGATTGAAGAGCTCACCACCGGGCACGCTGGAGAGCACTAAGTCAGCAGGGTCGGGATTAAAGTTCACATCAATCTCAATGCACTCTGGATCAACAGGGCTCGGAGTCTCTCTCTCACTCTCTGGGGAGGAGTCTAGCAAAAGGCAGTAAACATCAGAATAGGAGATCAGCATGATGAAGAAAATAAATCCAGGTACCCATATATGGGCATCTCTGCTCACTGCCCTAGTGTATGCCACATTTATCACTTCTATTTAATAGTGAACTCAGTACTGTACAAGACATAGTTCCATTCCCTGCAAGAGATAACATCTCAACTTTACACAGAAGTGCTGGATAACCTGCTTCACCATGGAAGAAATACAAGCCCTGGGCATGCATGCCCAGAATGAGATGCACAAGAAGATAAAAATGGCAGAAAGAGATGAAAGTTCCTCCCTTCAGCAAAAATCTTGTGGCCTTGTGCACCTCGCTACATATGAGAAGTATTTGCTCCAACAGAGTGAAATCAGAAATTCAGAGTTCTAGCTCCCTGCCATTTATGGCTCAGAAATTCCCACAGAAGCATGAGCTGGCCTAGAGATTTCTCTCACTGAGCCCACGGAAGACCATAAAAATTTGATTTTCAACATGAAAAATAGAGGTTTGATAAAAATCCACACATGTTCTTCCTTATTTGTTATATGTAAATGGAAGAGTAATAACAGAGGGCCTGGTGTGGAAGAGATGTGTACTGTGACAGAAACGGATTGGTAGCATGATCTTTAAAGACATGAGTTAAAAGTCACATTACAGTAACTTTATGTTTATATACATCTTTCACATTGATGAACTGCAAATTTTAGCACTAAGTGAAATATAGTTAGGGATAAATAAATCTCTTCTTCCACCAGTGAAATGCAGCCACATATCTGGGCAGTAAAACATTAGCAACACTACACGAGAGTTTAGGAGAAGCAACAACAAAAACTATACCCAAAGGATAACATAAAACACATCATATATAAACATGGAGTCAATAAGTGAGCACTTGATGCACGGTTGCTTTCCTCTCTCCTGTTGAAAACCTTTGTACTCCATGTTGTGCATATGTCTACCAGGTTCGTGGAAAGGGGGTCAGGGTTCAGGCCCTTTCCATAAAGCCATCTCGCAGGTTCTTTTCCTCACAAAATAGCCATTAAGTCTGTGCAGTGTTATTGTGTGGAGTTCCCAAGTCCAGCACTAAACTGAAAAGTGAAGGTCCTCTCCAGATACGCACACTGCTATCTAGGATCAGGTCACGGGTAGCTAAGGTGGAGGCACCAGAAATGTGTTTTATTTCTTTGTCTCTCCTTTCTCACCTCAGGTACTCAAGAGACTTCCAAGCATTCCTTGGAGCTTCAAACTAAAGTATAAACAGCCTCTGTCCAAAAAACTTAGCTGTCACACTTCACAAGCCAAATGAAAGGCTTTATTATAACATTTCCATAAAGCACAGTTCACTGGATGTACACTAACTACTAATGGCTTACCTCAATGGACTGAACCACCAAGGTATTCAAAAGCTTATCTGAACCTATCAAGACTGCAGATCTTATAGTAACAGATTCTTTCACAAGAATTCAAGGAATTCCAGACTCTTGCTAGGTTAGAAGTACCAATCAGAAAGTTGGTATTTCAGATTTGCCAATTCCAACTAGAAACAAAACAGCACAGAAGCAATGTGTTTTTTGTTTTTTTTTAAAGACAGATATTAAAACCTTTAAAAAAGTCCAGCTTCAGTTGCTGGGGAACGTTTGGGCTGGTTCTTATTTTATCCAGGCTCATTCACCCAGCTCTAGCATCAACAGCCACAAGATCTGCAATCAGATACACTGAATGTGAAGTGGCTAAGCAGCAGTGGCATTAAGGCCTTGTCTACACTAAAGGGAAAAGTCGATCTAAGCTACGCAATTTGAGTTACGTGAATAACGTAACTCAAATCAATGTAGCTTAGACCTACTTACCACAGGACCACACTAAGCGATGTCGAAGGGAGACGCTCTCCCGTTGACTCCCCTTACTCTTCTCGATCAGGTGGAGTACAGGAGTCAACAGGAGAATGATCGACTGTCGACGCATCAATCGCCGCAGCGTGGATGTTCCGGTAAGTGTAGACAAGCCCTAAGTTATTTTGGGGGTGGGAAAGACCTCTTCATAAAGATTAGCAGGAACTTACAGATGAATGAGACTCTATAGGCTAAACACTGTTTATGCTGTTTAAGCTTCTGAAGCTAATCTCCTCAGGATGGTAGTGCTTCTCCCCAGGTTAAGGAGGTCTCTGTACATATCACAACAGCAGAAACCATTCACAAGGCTTCAAAGTATTTCACCTACCTGTGCCGGAGGCAGCTTCAGATGGTTGGAAAACTACAGTGGAAGATGATGAGGGAGGGGAGGCAGCAGATGCACTGGTGGGCTCTTTTCCTTCCAGCTCAGCCACAGGCAGAAGCGGGTTCTGGTTCAAGCCTAGGTGAGCAGGGCTGGAAGGGATTCCATTCTCCAGGAGGAACTCATCCAGATCCATGTACTCCAGGTGGAAAGATTCCCCATCATAAGGGATGGTTTTGTCCCAGATGGGAGGCATGAGGGAGGCAGAGACTGCCATAGTGCTGGCAGCTGCAGCTTCATCCTCCTCAAGTTTTTCCTTCTTTTCTTTATCTAAAAGACAAAAACATAAAAGGTCACAGTGTAAAATATGGGTTAGAAGATTAAAGACTAGATTTAAATAATGGTAAGAGTTCAATACAGACTCCATCAGAGCAAGGAAATTAACTCGACATGTTCTACACCAGTTTACTCAGACCAATCTCCATGTGTAATGTTCGATGAAGTGGGTTTTAGCCCATGAAAGCTTATGCTCAAATAAATTTGTTAGTCTTTAAGGTGCCACAAGTACTCCTTGTTCTTTTTGCTGATACAGACTAACACGGCTACCACTCTGAAACTTAACAGTTCATTGGTCTCCATCTAATAGGTAGGCCACAGAGATTTACAGGTACATTAAAGTCTTTGAGCTAAGAGAGCAGGGTCTTTTAGCATAGAGGTCCTCTGTACAATCCGTGCTGCAAACAACCCACCCAGGGGTGGCATAATACACATAGTCCTAAGCACTATGATTCACCACAGTTTAGATTTGATTATCTTTAGGATTTATGGCAGATATTTTGTTTCTCCCAGGCTTTTCCTGGAAGACAGGAAAAGTAGATGTGGAAGGGTCAGGTTATAATGGAAACTATTAAGAAGCCTTTGAGGTAACAAGAGTTTATCCTGAAGTTGGGAGAGAAGTGCAAAGAGGGAAAGATTAGGTACAAGCGGGGGTGTGGGATTTTCATATTTGATTTGGAAAGAAGACAAAGTCCATCTATATTAAATGCTAACTGTAATGGTTCAGCTAAGCATTTATAAAAGCATTTGTTCCTGAAAATATTCAGTGTCCCCACACAGTCTCCCTCCAACACTTAATTATAGCTCAAAGTACCTATCACAGCGCTCCCCAAAAGGGGAGCTTGTAGGAGAATATATTAGAATTTTCCCCAGAAACTGATGCAATTTTCTGTTTAAACTACACTACAGGGTATACACAAAAGAAGCACAGTTGTCTCTATGCTAAGCAAAGCCCATTTCTGACTGAATTCCTGGAAGCATGGTCAACTGGCTGCTGAAGGTCATAGATAAGCTGAGTAGAATCTCAGCAAAGAATGAGGCCCATAAGAATTAGAAGACAGCCTTAAATAATGGCACTACTTTGTTAATGAAACCCACACTCACTCAAGGTGCCTATCTCTAGATCTTACTAGACTGAGTACCATTTTGGGGGCAGAAGCACATCCACAGATGGGTGAAAACATGCTGGTGGAGACCTGGGATGAGGAGCAATGGCTGCAGAGCAATGAGATCTTTTCAATTTTTGTGAGGTGCTCACTCCCACACAAGAGTACCTGGATGAGAGCTCCTCTCACTTTAGGCAATACAGTGAAGATTTCTCTCTGGAAGCCAGGAACCTCAGGTAATTAGTGCTTGATGGGATGTTAATTTGGGAGTTGGAAGTCTACATACAGGCTATTGTGTGGGAAGTGTATACAGCGGTACAAATTCATGCAGCAGGTGTGATCAAAGTATAAATATATACTTGCAAGAATGCTCAGCAACTGTAAACTAAATTTCCTTATGCTGCAATATGGAAATAGACAGCACCATCATTCAGATTCTGAATAAAACAGTGACCAGAATGACAAATTCCAGAGAGATGTAAATCCTGTTGCATCAGAGGTCAGCTCTTCAATGTTCACATAGGGTAGCCTGGCAAAGGGCACAATGCACAAACCTGAGAACACTGGGCTGTTCCAAAGCAGATGGAATAGATCAGTCAGTAGGCCAGTAGGGTCAACTACACACAGAGACAAGGATAGCCTTTTTAGCCCTGCTGTGATTTTAGAAGATCCTGCCTACCAACCCTTAGAAAACCCTACCCCGATTACTCTGGCAGACATTACTTCAAACTACTTCCTTAACAGGAACAGAAGCAAGGTGGAATATGTCTTTTGAAGGCTCAAGGCAAGAATGAGGTTTCTGTTGAAAAGGACAGCACTGTGATAGAGTATCATTGTTACTTCAACCTGCTGTTTTTCTCACATTATGTTTAAAAGCACAGAAGAAAATGTAATTCATAGCGAATAAACAAACCTGGATGAGAAAGTAATTGCTTCGCCAGCCAGAGGCTCAGGACTCCGCAACAGCTGGCAGGAACACACAGGCTGATATTACATCATAGGCTCTTCAGATAGAACTATGTCTTTCCATGCATTTGTTCAGTACCTAGCATAATCGAGCCCATCCTGCCTGAGATGGCTGGGTACTAGCATAAGTATTAATCATAGAATATCAGGGTTGGAAAGGACCTCAGAAAGTCACCTAGTCCAACCCCCTGCTCAAAGCAAGACCAATCCCCAATTTTTGCCCCAATCCCTAAATGGCTCCCTCAAGGATTGAACTCACAACCCTGGGTGTAGAAGGCCAACGCTCAAACCACTGAGCGGTCCCTCCCCCAAATGCACCAAACGACACTGACGACTTAGTTTTGTAAATCACGTTGATTCTGGTTGGAGTTGTAAGGCAACTGGACACTTGCATGCACCAGGTGGCCACGCCTGGAGCAAAGCCCAGCCCTGGGGGTCAGGCCGCGCTGCTGCGGGGGGAGGTTGTTTTTTAGTTTATGTTGCGGTACTTTGCACTGGCAAAAAGCCCCGAGGCTGCAGCCACACTCCGAGCAGGGCAGTCACCCAGGCCACAAGTCTCCTCAGGGCAGCCCTGGCCGCGTGGCTAAGGAAGGGGGAAGACACTGGACGGGGGGAATCTCTCCCGCTGCCGCCTGGGCACACCGGGAGGGCCCGGAGCTCCCCGGCCCGCAGCCACTCGAGCCTCGGGCTGGGCCCGGCCCTGCCCTGCAACCGGCGGGGCGGGGCAGCAGCACGCGCCACTCGCGGGCCCCGGCCCAGCCAGGGCGTCTCCCCGGCAACCAGAGAGCTGGGGCTCGCCTCGCCCCGCCCCCTCGACACGCGCGCGTCCCGCCGCTCGCGCGGTCGCGCCGTGCGTGCGCGCGCGCTCCCGCCCTCACCGAGGCGCGCGTGCCGCGGAGGATTCTCCATCAGCTTCTTCAGCACCAACGGGAAGGTGCCCGCCAGGCTCCGCTCCTGCTGCGCGGAGGCGGCCGCCCCCGCGCTGCCCGCTGCTGCCTCCTGGCGCGCGGCGCGGCCGGGCATGCTCCCCGCTGCCCGGCGAGCGGTGCCAACACCGAGGCCCCCGCAGCGGAAGACTACGAATTAGGGCTGCGCCAGCAGCTCCCGGAAAGACACCGCCAAGGCGCACGCGCCAGCAGCTGACGCCGCGAGCCAGCCTCGCCTTACTTCTTTATTCATGAGAGCGAGCTTCCCTCACTTCCCGCCCACAAGCCAGGCCGCCTTCTGTGATTGGCTGCGCCGCTCCAGGGCAGCGCTCCCATTGGCCGTAGAGGGGGGGGCACGTTCAGCCGGCACAGGCCAGGAAAGTGCAAGGAAGGCGTGTGACTCATTAGCATGTCAGTCCCGCCCATCCGGCGCCCCAAGCGTTCGAGTGTCCGCTGCCGCTGTTTCTTCCACAGACCGCGCGCGGAGGGGTGTGGAAACAGCCGCGCGCACAGGAGTGCCGCGGCGACCGCAGGAGAGCGCGCGGGCGAAGCCGCTGGGGCCGGGAGTCGCGAGCCCATTAGCCGCCGTGCCCCCTCGGCAGGGGGCGGGGCTGCGGGCGCGCGCAGCGGCTCCCCCACTTCCCTAACAATCCCTTCCCAGAGACGCGGCCCCGCTTCCCTGCAGCGGGTGGGGCCGCGGCTCCGCGCCCAGCGGATTTCGGAGCGATCCCAGCTCGGGCTGCAGCCAGCGCTCGGCCGCGCGGGGGATTATGCCCCACGTGTGTCCCCGCGTGACAAGCTGCTCCAGGCTGCGATGTGCATCGCCCCAGCTTACTCTGGTTTCAGGCAAACAGCCTCTGTCTACACTAGGGGTCGCATTCCTTCAGCTCCACTCCAGGCTGGCCCCAGCTGGCTGTTCGCGAGTCACCTTTCCAGTGAGGACAGGGCTGATCACGTGACACGGGCTCCACTTGCGTGCAGCTGCTAAATGTCAGCAACGCACGCTAGAAATACGTTCGTTTCTTTGATATTCGTATCCTCTAGAGGCAATTACTGTCATTGCCGCAGCGGAGCTATGGGCCCAGAAATATTAAGAAAAGGAGTTGTTTGTGCACAACCGGGGAGAGGAACATACTCTGAGATAAAGAACTCCGACTTCTTTTCTTTTCCTTTCCCACCCTCTGCTTCTCCCCAGCATTTGGTGCTTTTATTTTATCTTTATTATGTTAGTGATGAGGGGCCAACCAAGAATCCTTCCCTGTTGTTCCAAGCACTGTACAAACATAGAAGATGTCTGTCTGTTGCCAAAGAGATCATGTCATCACAGTGAAAAAAAAATGTGAAATCCGACTCAGCCCCCTCCCTCCAGGGTCTGAAGCAGTGATGTGTCCGATCATTCTCCTTCCACAAAAGTCATCATCTAACATTTGTGCCTGACAGCACCTGCTTTACTTCTTGGAGTAGGTTTTCAAAAGTACACAAGCAGGAGCAGAGTTTCAAGAGAGCTCAGTGAGCTAGGAGCTGAGCTCTTGACATCTGGATGCCAGTACCACAATACAACGAGCACTTGAAAGCCTGGCCTTGAGTTCCTTAGGAAATCTATTCCTTATTTTTCATCCAGGGAATATTGCTGAGTAAAGATGTGTTTAGAACTTCCATCTCTTTAGCTTTTTTTGTTTTTTTTTGTTATTGGGGGAGAGCAGGGAAGATAAGTCACAGTCTAGTGATATGATTTAGATTAATGGGAACCATAGCGTATTGACCGACATAAGGAAACTAGGTGAAAGGCAATGTAAAAAGGCAGAGCACTCTATGGTACTACCAGTCTGCTTAAATTCAAATGTCATGCAAATTTATTCTCTGTGGCCAACATCGGGGGAGATCAAACCTAACACAACCTCCAGATGGGATACTAGCATTACTGCCTGCATCAGGCAGCATAGCAATTAGGAGGATACATGAAGACCATAAGAACATCGAGGAATATAATTTGGATCCACAGATCACCTATCCCCTGTGACATGGATATGATCTCCCCCTGTCCTACATCGTGACAATAGCTGCTATGTGTCCTATGTGATGTCAAACCCCCTAGGAGAAGGAAGAAACTTTGAGGTTGTTTCCAGCCCTCAAACAAACAAGGAAAATGGTGCTGGATTTAGAGGTGCAGACCCAATATAACTATACTGGTGAAGTTGGTGAGAAACAACCCAGAGTTACAATCTGACATGGGCAGGCTTTGGATAGGGTAATCTACGAGTTCTTGTTTTTCTTTCTTGTCTTTAGTAATTTCCCACCTCTGTTCCTGCTGAATGTTTCCTGTATCACTCAAATACATATATGACACTTGCCACCTAAATGCATAAGTGGAGAAACTACATCCTGCAATCTTCCATTTCAAAACACACACATCTCTACCCAGCCAGGTGTTAAAGGAGTACCTCCAGGAGCTCAGCCAGCAGAGCTAATAAGCTCATAGACAGTGATATACACTTCAGACGGACAAATTTTTGAACCGCAACACTGTCTTTTACTTTTCAGAGTAGCAGCCGTGTTAGTCTGTCTTTGCAAAAAGAAAAGGAGGACTTGTGGCACCTTAGAGACTAACCAATTTATTTGAGCATGAGCTTTCGTGAGCTTTCGTGAGCTACAGCTCACTTCATCGGATGCATACCGTGGAAACTGCAGTAGACATTATATACACACAGAGACCGTCTCTCTGTGTATATAATGTCTACTGCAGTTTCCACAGTATGCATCCGATGAAGTGAGCTGTAGCTCACGAAAGCTCATGCTCAAATAAATTGGTTAGTCTCTAAGGTGCCACAAGTACTCCTTTTCTTTTTGTCTTTTACTTGACTGTAAAAGTGCCACACACATCTACAGTGATGTATGAATAAATAATATATTCCAACCAGTGGAGGACAGTGTGACACATGCTCAAGATGGTCCACCCCATATCTAAAAGAGCCACTTCCATAATTCAGCCAGAAGGGAACTGCACTCCTCTGGCACAAGTGCCATTATCTACCACAAAGATGAAGCTCATTTATGCATTTTCATGGGTCAGACCATGACCATGGAACTCACTCCCATAGAATCCAAGAACTACCTCAGATTTCATCACTTTCTGTCCCAGTTGCAAGGCAAACTTTCTTTGGCCTGACCTTCACTAATACAAGCTCATAGTACATCAAAATCAATTTCCCACCCACGCTCCAGGGGGATAAATGGAGAAGAGATAGCACATGATAGTAATTAGTCATGTTGCTCAATGCATCACTGGAAGACATTGAGCATACCATGATGAGCAGCACAGTGAAAAAATCTAAGAAGAATAGAACTGATATATGCCCTCTACAGATTCGAAATAGTAGGCAATTAGTGCCCACATACACACAGCCAATCTCCTCTAGCTCAGCCAGTAGAGGACAGAAATATACAGATAAGAAGATTTAATATATTTTATCCAGCAAGGGGCAATGAAAGGCATGCACAAGACTACTCATAATAAATCCTCCATTTGCAGACCATGATACTCCATGTGGGGCAACTGGACTGTAAATGAAGTTTCCACCATGTGCTAACTTCCTCCAGCTAAGACGAGAACTCAGCCTGGGGAGACTTAAAAGGAGAAGGAATCTCCCAGGGGAAATGAGATTTTGCAGAGGAGGTGTCACTGAGTGCTTGTTAGAGGGTTACAGTCCTCATATCTGCTTCCCACCATTTTGTTCAAGGCTGCAGTTTCCCTGGCAAGGCTGGTTTCCAGTGACCTACTGCACCCATCCACTTTATTCCATGACTAGACTCTGAGTATGTAATCCCAGGAAGAGTCCAAGGAAACGAAGATCTGTAAAGGAATCTAAACTACTGTACTTAGGCAGTGAATTAGCTCAACAGTGTCTTCCTCATCTCTAGGCCCCAAAAGTGGAAGACTGTCTGGTGGAGGTGCAGTGTTTGTGCCTAAGACTGACCTTGTTCCCTGACTTACTTCCAGATGAGTTCAGCAGATGCTGAACATTAGGATTAGCTTTGTACAGTCATAGGCATGTGCCTGTGCACAGGGAGTGTTTAATTTACGCAAAGATGATTTTTTGCATAGGCTTTAACAGGAGTTTCCAGGGAGCTTCTTGTGGGATCCTTCACAATGCACTCTGCATGGGTGTCAAGTGTCTGGCTCTTCTTCAGGCAGTGATGGGAGAGGCTGGTTTGAGAACGTTTCCTTGGACTCTTCCTGGGATTAGATACTCAGAGTCTAGTCACCAATGGAATAAAGTGGATGGGTGCAGTAGATCACTGGAAACTGCAACATCAGCTGCACCCTCCTGCTTTATTTAGATTTTGCAAACGTAACTGTCAGTTTCTCTTTAGCTGTGGTACTAAGAATTGGGGCATGCAAGATGGGAATCCTCAGTGGGCTTAGCTTTTACACTGCTTAGCTTGTGATGGGGAATTCAGCTCCAAAGGAGATGAGGAGAAGCACAGCTCTGATGTGACGGGAGGATCTGTAATAAGGAGCCTACGGCCAGGTAGGGGGGTATGTGTGCAATCAACACCACTAGGAGGTCTGCTGCAGGATAGCAGAGTATGTAAAATGGAGGGGTGTGTGTGATGACAGACCTGGTCCCTGAAAGAGGGGGTTGGAAAGACTGGCTCTGGCAGGGAGGTGTACTAATAGGGAACTAAGAACTAAAGGAGACTAAGAGAACATGAGGGAGGTCCCCAGGCAAGGGGAGGGAGTTGTCATGGTACCATGTCCCCATGCAGCCAAAGAAAGTCATATCCAATAATCAAAGAATTTCCTCTCTAGCCCCCTCAACAAATTCTTCCCAGCTCTCCTAGGTTGGATGGATTCCAACCAGTTGCCTCGCTCCGCTGAATCTAGATACCAAGGATCTAAGGAATTTACTTAATCCAGCCTTGGCCAGAGCACCATCCAGGCACATGCACTAGTGACACTGTTTTCCTAGCTCTGCCACAACTACACCCTCCTCTCTCGGTCAGCTTTTCACCATGGCACAGGATAGCTGAGAAACACGTCCAGGACCAGCCATCCAGCTCCATATTATATAACAGTCTGGTTATTGTACAAGTCTCAGCAAGGGAGGGAGTGAATTTACAGGGAACAACAGACAGACTGTGCTACAGGGACTTGACAAAATGAATCCGTTCAGAGAGGTGGGGACCTACAGTAATCCCTTCGTCATCACAGG